GTGGCACGTTTGACGCAACACAAGATTATAGAGTTGGGTTGGGAAGTTCTCTCCCATCCACCATATTCTCAAGATATGGCACCATCAGATTACCATCTTTTTTCGCTCGCTGCAATACCATCTTAATGGGAAGATGTATGCAAATGTAGAAGGTATTAAAGAGGACATCGACATGTTTTTTGCTTCAAAGCCAAGTGATTTATTTAATCAAGGCATTAATAATCTGATTGTAAGTTGGAAAAGCATCATTGATAAAAATGGAGGCTATTTCATTTAATAAATATTCTGTTTCGATATATAAGTTGTTCGGATTTTTTCATCTAAAAAAAGCGACATTAATTTCTTGACGACCTAATACCTTTTTATTCAGCTGGATATTAACCTTAATGTTTAAATCGTTTTACGTAGAAGCAATTGATCTAGGAATGTTTCGAGTCACATTTAATATAAATTTCACTACCTATAACATGAGAGCATATCATGAGTTCACATTAAGTAACAGAATCCCAACAAGAGCCAATATAATGTATTTTACAAAGAGTAGATAAAAGTAGATAAAACCAATATTTTACTAACAGTGGATAAACCCGTTACTTTACTTAGAACAGATAAACCAGTATTTTACTGACGGAGTAAAATACTGGTTTATATACCTATCAGCAAAATATTGGTTTATATGCTGTCAGTAAAATACTGGTTTATATACTGTTAGTAAAATACTGGTTTATATGCTGTCAGTAAAATACTGGTTTATATACTGTTAGTAAAATACTGGTTTATATACCGTCAGTAAAATACTGGTTTATCTGTTCTAAGTAAAGTAACGGGTTTATCCACTGTTAGTAAAATATTGGTTTTATATACTGTTATATAAACCAATATTTTACTGACAGTATATAAACCAATATTTTACTGACAGTATATAAACCAATATTTTACTGACAGTATATAAACCAATATTTTACTGACAGTATATAAACCAATATTTTACTGACAGCATATAAACCAATATTTTGCTGACAGAATATAAACCAGTATTTTACTGACAGTATATAAACCAGTATTTTACTGACAGTATATAAACCAGTATTTTACTGACAATATATAAACCAATATTTTACTTACTTAGATAAATCCATTACTTTACTTAGATTAGATAAACACATCTACAAAAGTGTAGATAACTTCATTTACCAGACTGGAAAACTACCATTTCTTAATATTCGAAATTTATCTCGTTTCGAAAAGAAAAACAACTTTCTGAAATCTACTGTTAAATTAAATTCATACATTGTAAGTAATATTAAAAATGTCATTTAATATGACTTTTTTTTTAAAGTCACTAATAAGGAAGCTTTAATGTACTAATTCTAGCCTAAATCAAGTACTTACAATTTTAATAAATTCTGCTCGAGACGGCCATTCAGCCATTGATAGGGAGGTGTCGATAATGTCTTTGCTATACAAAAAGAATAATATAAATGATATTAAAACATTCATTGATGTTTGACACTGTAATATGATTTTTAAGATTCAGTAAAATAACACATAATACTTGGTTTTACTTTTTGATAAATTTGGTTTAACAATTTGATTAAAAGTAATTTCTGCTTTTTAAATTGTTTAATTTCATTAGTGCATATAAACATATCAATACTAATAAATGACTTTATTGCACCAAATTTGTCATATATCTTTGACTGAACACTCGAAGTTTGGCTTTATAGTTTTTTCAAAAGCGGTTTGTATTTTAATGGAACGCTCCTGAAGAAACTGTAAAGCGAAACGTTGAATGTCCAATTATAGAAATGTAAAAAATTTGGTGTTTTAGAGTTGTTTATTAATAGTATTTTTTAATTGTTTGTTGTGGAAAAACAACAAGGAAGTAGTCAAGGTGGTGTAAATCACGTGGCTATCATTTACGTTATGAAATAGATTTGTAAGGAACACCACCAACAACAAATCTATAGAGATGTATGATCTACTCTAGCATTTTTAGAGTTACTTTCATACTTTCACTTACACCGTTTTTCAGTAATTTCTACAGTTAATATGTCTATGCTTTTTATCAATAAATAATCTAACCAAACATGTAACGATCTTACTGTTAATAAACTGAAAAAAGTATAAAAAAGACCCAAAAGCTCAAATGTTTTTGTAAATAAGACTCTTCTTCATCAGGAGACCCAGACGAACAAGAAACCATTGTCACTTTTATAAAACGCTTGAGCTTAAAATGGAGTGGAGATTTTCTTTGAACTAATAATGAGGTAATGTCTTTCTCTGAATAACAAAGGCTCTCTTTAAAATAATAGTGACGTAAAGATTTACTCTGAAAACAAAATGAGGAAAAGGTTTTATCGGAACTGCAAATGAAGTAAATGTTATCCCTGAACTACTAATGAAGTAAGAGTTATCTATGAACTAATAATGAGGTAATGTCTTTCTCTGAATAACAAAGGCTCTCTTTAAAATAATAGTGACGTAAAGATTTACTCTGAAAACAAAATGAGGAAAAGGTTTTATCGGAACTGCTAATGAAGTAAATGTTATCCCAGAACTACTAATGAAGTAAGAGTTATCTATGAACTAATGATGAGGTAATGTCTTTCTCTGAATAACAAAGGCTCTCTTTAAAATAATAG